TTTTTTTCCAGTGAGCACGTAATGGCATCCGCTAATCTATGAATTTGATGGATAGTCGAATGTTTTTCTCGAAATCCAAATTGAGAGTTGGGAATAATTTTCTTTTCAGTGATAATTGGGTAAATACGTTTTAACATTAATTTTTCCAATAGTTTAGAGAAAAATGGAAGAAGACTTATTGGGCGATAAGAGGCTGGGTTGTCTGTTGGTTTGTTGGGTTTAGGGAACATTATTATAATTGAAAATTTCCATTGTATTGGAATATATGTTAGTCTTAGGATTGCATTAAAAATATGTGTTAGCTGAGTAATGGCTTTATTTGGAAGTTTACGAGCCACTTCTGCCGTTATTAAGTCGAATCCTGGTGATTTACCTAATGGAAAGTTTTTTATGAAAGTTTTGATAACTGATGGGGAGAAGCATTTAGGAGGCAAGGTTAGAGGCAGAGGACTGTCTAAAAATGTATTGATTTCACTTGTAGGTGGGGGGTAGCATAATGGTTTGGTTGAAACACGGCTGCAAGATGATTTCTAAAGGTTTCTGCTTTTCAATGTCATTTATCGCCCAGGTTCCATCTTGTTTTTTTAACGGAGAAATGGTTGTTTTATGTTTCAGTATTCTACGTGTGGCTCTCCAGAGTGAGCCGTTTTTTTCCGAAAGTGAGGCTGTATATTTGTTAAAGTCGTCTGAGCGCTGTTTACCTGCTTCTTGTTTTAGTATTGTGCATAGGTTGTTGTATATTCTTTTATCGGAGGGGTCTGGTTCTTTGCCAAGTTGCTCTTGCCCTATTTTTTTATACAATTAGATTTCTTATGTGTGAGGGCATTGTATGATAGTTTTGGTTGTGGTTAGGGTTTGGTGTGCAAGAGCTCCAGGCTGCTGATTGAATCGAAGTTGTGGGATTGTAAACAGCCTCGTCGATGTCATAATTTGTTTTTAGGCGAGTTTTTAAACCGATTTGATTGGCTAGACTTGATTGGAATGTGTCCCAATTTATTACACCATTGATTAATGAAGGTCTAGTTAGTTTGATTGGGAGTTCGGTGTTAATTATTAGATGCACTGGGGAGTGGTCTGACATTGGGTTTTGGAGATTTTCAGTTGTACAATTTAGTCTGTTTGGAATTTTTGTGACAAAAATGTCCAAAATATCGGGACGTTTTCTTGGCAAGGTTGGCCAGTAGGTGGGGCTTGGAGGGGACAGAATGTTGTAATTTTTATTATTAGTTAACCGCAGGAGAGTGTTACCACGGGGTGAGTTGAAGTGGCAATCCCATTGTATTTGTTTCGCGTTCAGATCACCGCCTACGATAAAATTGTTGCCTAATGTATTGAAGAATAGTTCAAATTGCAGTGGGGAGATAGTATGTCTAGGAGGGCAGTATGTTGAAGTGATTATAATAAGTGTGTGATCAAGTGTGATTTGGATGGAATTTGCTTGAATGTGTGGCTCATTATATGGAGGAAGTGGATGAAAAAGAATTGAGGATTTGATAAATATAGCTGCACCACCATGAGCAGTGCCATCGGGGTGATTTGTATGGAGAAAGTTGTAGCCTGGAATGTAAGTTTTATTGCGAGTTGTTGAATGGGTTTCGGATATAAGAGCGATATATATGCGTTAATCATAAACTTAAAAGTGTTTTTATATTATTTAGTAATATAATAAAATCATGGAAAATAACAATCAACATTTCCTTAATACGTGTTGAAATTAAAGTATATTTTAAGTTTTCAAATATAATTATTGTCGGCACTGCAGCTTTATTGTTGATTATTTACAGACGTATTTATCTGCGAAGTTTATAAATTTTGTCGGGATTGGCAAAAATATTTTATTTTTTTTTTTGTATTAATAACTACTAGTGTACGAGCATGAAGCAGACACTGTCCAACCGTTGGCACCCCTGATAGCGGGCCGAACGGTTGGACCGTGCCGTCGTCCGACCACATGGTCACTTTTTTGGCGTTCATCCCGCTACGACGACGTGCTCTGGTCGATATGTGTTCTTCGTACCGTTTGTGATCGCAACGGTGTTTCTGTTGTGCCACGTTATTTCGCCCGGTTCGGCCATCCTATGGGCTCATTTGTCGAGCCGTTTGTGGTCGCAAGGGCGTCAAGTGTGCCGTACGTGTCCGCTGTGCCACGTGGTTACACCCTTTCGTTGGACGTTTTGCTGCGGTGCTATCTTACGTGTGTTTGTTACCCATGATGTGCGACACTCGAATATCAAGTTCCTGATTGTTTTCGTCAGTCATTGTGTGATTACTATTAACCAGTGGTGCAGGTCGTAGTGGTCTATTTTGTATTATTATAATAAATCTTGTCAACCGGTAGTACTATTAATTGTAGTATTCTTATTATAAATATTTTTAAATTAATATTATACATATACATAATAAATTTAATTTTAATATTTCTTAAAAAAAAACCAGTTAATTATTATAATAATTTTATTGTATGCTCAAACAACATCTTGCTTCTATGGCCAAGTGTACCTTATCGACAGTCATTGTCCGTTAAAGAAAATCACAAGATCTAAGTTTTTATTATAATCAGTATTGGGGTAACAACCGTACTTAAGGATTACCTTGATACACTAACTAGTATAAAACTACGATAGGAAAAATGCTATCTTAAGACAGAAAATATTGTTTAATGATTATTTGTAATATATATATAAAATCAAATTATTTTTTTTTTTTATGATTTTTTTTTTTTTATAGGTAGGTAAATAAAAGAAAACATATACATTTTTTTCCTAATGACACAACAAACTCGTACAACGTGTAAATTATTCATCAACGTCTATGCTTTAGAAAAGCAAAAATATATCTTTAAACAAACAATAACTATCAGTACTTAATAGGTTCTCTTATCACAACATATTATTAGTATTATTATTATTATTATACGTAATAATCTTATAAAAATTAACATTTTTAGTTTACAAGGCCAATAAATCTTCGTTGACTACTTTTATAAGTAAGTGATTACATTTTTGTCTGATACTTAGTGGTTTTAAATTTGTTGTTCTTTTTTTATAAATCTTACCTTGCTTAATATTATTAACAATATGACTAATATCAAAAAATGTAAAAGTTCTTAGTTTTAAGTCAAATGCAACATTGAGATCCCATAAAGTTTTCAATAAGTCCGATTACTTAAATTACAGTTTTTGTTTATAAGTTTATAAGTTTGTCTTATAAGAAGCATATATTCGAGTTCGAATAAGTATTATAGGTAATACTATTTTAAATACTAATAGGTATAAAATACATAAATACAAATTATGCGTTAATAGTTTAAATCATAACTGTGTATAACTTTGCCATACAATAAATAAATAAATACACTTACTGTCAATAGGTATGGTTTAAGTTTGATAAATCGTCCAACTCATCATAACGTAATAATAACAAAATATTTTATTATACGTTCTCAAATTATTGGTTAGTGCACCTGTTCAAACAGCGTTGAAGTAGCACAACTTTTCAATGTAATCTGCCACCGAGAGACATATTTTTACGTAGATTACGTCAACGGTAGCGTAGTGTAAACAAAATACTCACCTCACTTTGTTTGCGTAAACATGATACCATATACAATGGCGTCGTAATAGTCCATTATAAATATTCCATCGCTTCGTGTGGTTGATAAATCGTAAATAGACATAGAAAATGTTGCCTTAATACTTTCAGCTATAGCCACGATTTAAGTAATTCCCACGCTTCGTTATACCGAAAATTATTTACATCATACATCATTAGTAAAACCATACAAGTTGTCTGTTGTACTCTTTATCTAAATAATATATTTTTCGCTTTGGGTTCGTCGTGTTTTTATATCTTATCGATGAACTTTTTTTTTTTAATTTAAATTATATGCTATTTCTGATTTGTTCCAAATTAAAACCTACTTGGTTTTTTGATATTACCATTTTCTAATAAAATACACATATTATATAAAACTATATGTATATATATATATATATATATATATGTTACGGGCAAAAGCCGAAATCGGACAAACCTCAGAAATGCCCGTGCAAAACGCGAAATGCCCACAATCCTTGGGCAAAATGTCATATTTCGGCTTTTGACCGGGCAAACCTAGTTATGACCAACCTCATTTGGGCAAAACCGCCAAAACCGTATACTGACTTTTATCGTAAGGGCAAAACCGTAGAGTCTTAATTACGTTCGCTAATATTTAATACAAATAATTATGAAATAAATATTATTGTACAAATATAATTGAATAAGCTTAATTAATACATTTAAATCTCACTTGGGCCAAACTGTAACGTTTTAAATAACTTCACAAATATTAAATACAAAAAAATAATAATCATAAAATATTGTTTAGATATAACTGACTTTTATCGTAAGGGAAAAACTGTAGAGTCTTAAATATGTTTGCTTAAATTAAATACGATTTTATTACGATTAATTATAGATTAATATTGCGTATCTTGTTAATTTATCGCTGTTATTGTATTTTATCAACTCGTTATATTAAAGGTACACAAAATCTTATCTAAATGGTACAATATTGTACTGATACTATACGAACAAGTATTTTTGTGAGCTTATATTAGTTTGTCTTTAGCAATGGCTAACGAAACGTGTGTGTCTGATTTTAAAACTAAATTTGAATTAAAACTTAATGAAATTACAAAAAGTAAATGTAGTGCTCTAATAAGTGATATAAGATACGATGAACTCATAAAAGAGGTAGAACAAGCAAAAGTCAATTTAAAGAAAACAATGAGCGAATACAGGAGACTAAATAGATTTGACGTACCCACAATCGATGAGTCTAAAAAATTAATAGTTCCACCAAGTAAAACCAATGGTGACATTATTTATTTTGTAAAATGCAATGAAATGTTTGACATATTGCACATGGCTCATATAAATTGTGGTCATGGTGGTCGAAACCGAATGGAGCATTCAATAAAACAAAAATATAAAAATATTACCAAGGATATAATATTATTATATTTACATTTATGTGAAATATGTAATATAAAACACGCTCATCCCAAAAAAGGTTTAGTAATAAAACCAATTATATCTAAAACTTTTAATTCTCATGCACAAGTTGATTTGATAGATATGCAAAGTAATAAAGATGGTGATTTTAAATTTATTTTGGTTTACCAAGACCATTTTACTAAATTTGTTTCTTTAAGATCTTTAAAAACAAAAACGGCAAGCGAAGTTGCATACAATCTTATAGATATTTTTTGTATATTTGGAGCTCCGTGCATACTACAATCAGACAATGATAGAGAGTTTGTTAATCATATTATAAATGATTTAGTTTTAATGTGGGATGGTTTAAAAATAGTACACGGGAAGCCACGTCATTCGCAAAGTCAGGGAAGTGTTGAGCGAGCTAACAAGGACATCGAAAAAATCATTTATGCTTGGATGGAAGAAAATCAATCTAGGAAATGGAGTGAAGGATTGAGATTTTGTCAATTTTCCAAAAATAGTGCTTATCATGCTGGCATAAAACAACCTCCATATGAAGCTATGTTTGGAAAAAAAGTTAGTCTTGAATTAAAAATGTCATTTTTACCCAATGATATAATAAACAATGTAAATGACGAAAATGACTTACTAAAATTTGTAGAAAATGAAAATGAAAATGAAATGGAGGTATTAAATGAAAATGAAAATGAAATGGAGGTATTAATTGAAAATGAAAATGAAATGGAGGTTTTAAATGAAAATGAAAAAATTTTAGTCAACCTATCTGAACAAAAACAGCATTTTAAAAAAGCACGGGAAAAGGCTACTGATGGATTAGTGGCGCAAGCAAAAAAAATAAAATTAATGAGTGAAAATCAATTTTCACCTCTAAATGTAAAAATGACAGTGAAAATTCCAGTGCCTTGTGTTGATAGAGGAAAAGTCGATGCAAATAATGTGTTAGGTGTTATATTAAGTGTTACAGATGATGGATTTTATAAAATAGGAACCAAAAATGGAATTTTGTCATCACTTTATGCCAGAAACCAAATATTTCAAAGCAAGGAACAGTTTATTAGTAGCAATGATGTACCGAATATCGAAATACCACTGAGGACTGCTAGTATTCAAAATTCATTAACTGGAGAACAAGGGTATATTTTTTGTTCTTGCAAAACTAAGTGCACTACGAAACGATGCAAATGTAAACAACAAAATATTTTGTGTAGTTCTAAATGCCATGGTTCTAATATGTGTAGCAACAAATAAACAAAAATATTATTTTTTTATTATTATTTATGTGTATTAAATTATATCAGTACAATATTTTATGATTATTATTTTTTTTTTATTTAATATTAGTAAAGTTATTTAAGACGCTATGGTTTTGCCCAAATGAGGTTTAAATGTATTATTATTTTTAATTATTTATTTTAACATTTTAAAGTACCTAATATTATTATATGTTTATTTTTATATAAATACTTAATATCGTTATATTTTTATTATTATTTAAGTGTATTAAATTATATCTAAATAATATTTTATGATTATTATTTTTTTGTATTTAATATTTGTGAAGTTATTTAAAACGTTACAGTTTGGCCCAAGTGAGATTTAAATGTATTAATTAGGCTTATTCGATTATATTTGTACAATAATATTTATTTTATAATTATTTGTATTAAATATTAGCGAACGTAATTAAGACTATACGGTTTTGCCCTTACGATAAAAGTCAGTATACGGTTTTGGCGGTTTTGCCCAAATGAGGTTGGTCATAACTAAGTTTGCCCGGTCAAAAGCCGAAATATGACATTTTGCCCAAGGATTGTGGGCATTTCGCGTTTTGCCCGGGCATTTCTGAGGTTTGTCCGATTTCGGCTTTTGCCCGTAACATATATATAAAAGTAGCATGTACGGTTGGTACGTACATTCCACAGATTAACGAGTAGCAAAAAATTCACTAATAAATGATTAATATTTAATTTATTATTTCTTCAAATAACATCTAAAACTTATGCAAAGAAAATTATGCAAAACAACTATTTCAGGTTAGTTTCTGATATTTCCATAACGTTCAAAAGTTCATATTACAGAAAGAATATTTTTTAGTTGATAGGAATGAAATTAGTCCATACAAAATTGTCATCAGTTTTAAAGAATGAATTGAAAACATGCCTTTTCACATTTTAAAAACTATAACTAAAAAAATTATTTTTTTACGCTTCTAATGAGATGAAAAACTAAATATGTGACAGACTTAAACAAGTTTCACATGAAATAGAAAATCATTTAAAAAAAGTAAAAACTGGATAATTAATATTGCTCGATCACAACATATAAGATAAAAATAATAACAAAACGCCTAAACATTTATGAGTAGGCAATATAATAATGATAATTTATTGTTGTCCAACATGATAAATAAAAAATACAAAAATTAAAACTTCGGCTACAAAACGCCTGAGAACTTTGTAGGCAGTATCAAGCCCAGATAACTAATTTATTTATCTAGATGAAGATATTGATAGTATACCAAAAATCTATTTAGATAAAGATCACAATAAACTCAAATGAAATTATTTGTACGAAAAGCAAAAGATAATTATAATTCATCTAGATATAAAACAGATATATTTATAAAAAAAAAAAAACAATGATCGTATATCAAATTGTAAAAAAATTATCAGCCCTACCGCGAATAAAACATTTTATATTTGTTCAAGGTGTTTGAAATGTTTCATTATTTAAATGTATTTTATTTGTTTGCAATAAAAAATGTAGATAAAATTCTGATAGTAAATGTTTATCTCTGAATCTCATTTAAGCGCTAACGCTTTCCACGGTCAGACCGATAGTGCTGAAAAAAACACTTGCAAACATTTAATGATGGTGGATGGTCAATAGGTTTACCCAATTGACTGTTTAACGAGTCACGATATTTTATAATTTATTAATAGAAAAATTAACTAAAATAAAACTGCTTCGCGTGGATTAAAAGATTTATTTTCATAAACATTTTAATAGTTTTTAGATAAATGTAGTAGGTGATGACGACAATGGTTGTTAATTATAATCCATTACCCCCAAAAAGCTATATTTGTCGTTATTATATATTGTTATTCTTGGTGAAGCCTACAGATATTATATTTATATATTATATATATATATATATTTATATGCGTGCTAAACAATAGCTACATTTGGATAACACTCATTAAGATATAAATGTTCTTCGAAAACAAGGAAAATTTATAGGTATTTTCAACCATATAAATTTCAATCACACATTTTAATTTTTGAATATTGTTGTTAAAGCTACCCTGGCGATGTACGAAAAAATCCTTGAATCCTCGAAGCACTAAAAATAATAATTTAATATGATACATAAAAAATATCTAGAAAAATAAACAATAGATAACTAAAGTATTCATCTTAGATAGACAAATAGTAGTATCAGGAATCATGAAAAAGATTGATGGAGAAAACTTAATCACTTTGTAGTTAGATAATTAAGTTTAAAAAAACATAATTATCTATTAAAAATTTATGAGATGATAACACTATAGTTTTTAAATAGTTTTAAATTATATAAATGGAGCCATAAATAATTTGATTTTAACGTATTATTGCACTTGAAAAAATATTTCCATATAATCCAGTTCCATTATAAGCCAGTGGTTTTTCAGTTAATTTTCATATTTAAAATATTATTTTAAAATACTATGGGCAATATTGTTGAATGGAAAATATTTCCTATACTTAATCAGAAGTTTTTGCTTTTTTATAATACTTCTCCTTGTGTACAATATTTTTGGTTCTTCCTTCAGGAAGCATAATTACCCGACTATTAGGAGAGTATAGGCGTGAACAGGCAACATATAATTGGTCATGGGAGAAACAGTCACTCCTTAAATCCACACATATTACTTTCAAAAACTGTCCTTTTTTATTACTTGCACTTTGTTAATTGTCACGGCAAAACAGACTTTAACGGGAAACTGTAGCCGTTTAAATTTAAAGTGGTAATCAAATCGAATCAAAGTTATTTTTGGTAGAAAAACTGTTTGTTCCATACCGCAGCTTTGTAAAGGTAATTGCTTCAATTCAATTTTTATATAAGATCTTATCCTGAAGTCGTGTGCCATTACAACGTTTTGGAGATATAGATTACGCAAAATTATTATTGGTATTTTTTCAATGTTATTCAATTTTATTGAATATTGGTATTTTTCCAATTTTCAAACATAGATTGTAAGGAGGAATTCTTGGTAGATTTAAAACGGGAAAAAACTCTACAGAATATCGAATACAAAAAATTTTTATTTTAACTCAAAAACACAGTGTAAGAACACGTATCGTTCTATCGCAGTGTAGGATTTAAGGTTTGTTTCATGTGCCAGATCAAATGTTTTTCAATAAATATTTTGTGATTTATTTGAATAACTCTGAAACGTATTGTGTACACACGCGTATCATAATTGCCTATATATTACGCCGTTTTATAACTTGTCTAACGATTGTCAATTATTATTATGAAATTAACTTTTATTAATACGTTTTTTTGCAGATAACCTTTTTTTTTTTTTTGAGTAATCGAATGAATTTCGTAAATCGAAACTACTGTCATGGTACCAAAGTCATCGAATGTAAATCTATGTATCATAATATGATATAATGATTCATATTACAATCATTAGTTAACATCATTTTTCTTGTCGTTATTGTAATGCATAACAATAAAAAAAAACTTATGCTATTTGAACAAAATATTTATTATTTTTTTTCACTCATTACGATTTCATATTATTGACATTTTTAATATGCGGGTGCAATAGTGTGACTTCTACTACTATGTGCTATTCTGTTTATATTTCAAATGTGACCTCCCCGTTTTATATCCATTAGTCATCTCATGAGCATCACTAAAAACTTATCGCAAAAAAGACTTCCATACGTAGGCACATTTAGATTGAACATGTAATGTAAATTATTAATCTGTATGCGAAGTACTGTTTGGGTCCCAAAATTGACTACACATTTCAATTTCTATGTGTCATCGCATGAAGTTCGGAATAATCTAGTTACATTAAGGACTTTCATGCGTAGTTCAGTTTGTAATGTGTAATGACCATGTTAAGCAAAAAATAAAAGACCAAAATATATGTATATAACGTTTTCTTGCGGTCAATTATTTATTTATTATTTACTAACGAAACATAATTTGAAATACCAAACTTTTTTCTGCCGGAACCCTTAGGGACAATAAAAATGATCACGGACCCCTTAGTACAAATAAAAATTAAAAAACAATAATATATAATAATACTTTGTAAATTTTAAATTTTCTTTTGTGGACCCCCTTCGGTATATGTGCAGAGTCCTAAGAGTCCGCAAACCACAGTTTGGGAAACGCTGTTATAGACTATAGTAATGACTATACAGACGGAACCTGTCGTACCTCTAGCGATTATCAGACCATGGATTTTTGTTGAATTAGTAAATCGATATGAATTATCTACAAAATAAAATTATATTTAATATTATGCCTATAATAACCATAATAGTATGATGAACAAAGTAAATCGAAAAACGTGCATTTATTGGTGTGTTGTGTACGTTATGTATGTATAATAATAAATTATAAGAATTATCACGAAGGGTTTTACCCACAACATCATATCAAGTTGTATCATTTTAATTGCCATCTTTTCGAATATATTAATATTGTTATATATATAATTACGTTGTTATCGAATATTGTATATTTTCGTCATCCCGACGGTCGCTGTCGAACTGTATACTTATGATTTGATAATGGTTTATGATTTATTATTTTATTTTGTAGTCGTTGCTCGCTATTTTATTACATTTCATTTTACGTTTTATGTTTGACAATAGAGTAGTAAAGTAACTATTATTAAATATGAATACAATAAATTATATACCTAAAATAATTTATTGAAAATTATTCCTAATAATACCAAATAGTTTATATATTATAATATACCATAAAAATAAAAATGTATTGCAAATACAAGTATATTTACCACCAGTTTCGATATAAAAAACCGTCACCGATTTATTTAGAAACGCATCACTGTATAATGTTACATAAATAATGTTTACTTTTACTTTTAGTATACTAACTTAATTACTACTAAATATCTCGATAGGGTATCCCAGTAGTATAGGTCTAAGAATAGGTAGGTAGAGGTGTACGGTTCAAATCTCAGCAATGAAATACACTTACGATTTTTTTTTTATTCTCTGGATAATAATCATTACGAAGTCTATGCACAGAAAATAAGAAGTTCCGTTAATCTTTATGTACTAATATTATTAACCTCTCAATATGACATTATTGACTACTCCTAGTAATCACATGTTGATATCGCATACAGTAACTTCGTTCAACCTGGCGTTAAATATCCATAACACATTTCTGAGAAGTCAATAGACACTTATTCGTAACTTCTCAACCGTCAGTGTGACAACTATGCGACTATTATGCTATAGGATTTTGCACATCGGGTAATTTTCATTATTGTGAAAAGGTTAATAAATGGCAACCCATGAAAATGATATACAACATAAGTAAGGAACATTATGGAATTTGAGCTTATTATTACATTATGTATATAAATTGTTTAATATTTAATGATATTTATAATAGATAAATATGAATTTTTAATTCTGTATTTGAAAAACCTATGCATAATGTAAATTTGGAAAATAGTTATTGATTATTCGTATGATTATGTATTGAATCATTTTAAATGTAACTCTAAATTTAGTACAGTACTAAGAAATAACTTGGGTCAACATCTCTTGATGAACCATATTCAGAATTTTATACGGTGATGTATAAATGGTCAGGTTTTCCAACTATAGAAAATACTACAATCACATATATATATATATATATATATACATATAAATGAACTTCCATTAAGACAATGACGAAATAAAAATGTAATTTTCCAAATTTACTCCACAATGGCCTAATATCCTACCTTGATCATAATTAACTGACATTTTAAAAACAATACTTTATTAGAAACTAAACCCTTCTAAAGTAAACTGGAAAATGAATGTGGTGTACTGGTATTTTTGGAAAAAATAGTTTTTCTCCTATAGTATACACTGTAAATATAACAGCTTTAATTATGTTTTTGGTAAGATGATTAACTCAGAACTTAGTCTCAAAACATAAACAAAATTAATTTAAATGTATTAATAATATCAGTAATATTCGAACCTTTAATGATATTATATAGAACCAAAATAGCCTAATCCACAAAAATGTAACTGTGCAGAATGGGAATTTCAAGTTTTAACTATTTTTCATTTTTTTTTTTTTTTCTTATTAGGCATATGCATATTACTAGCATAGGGTTGGGCCACTTTGGTTCTAAAATTATATATCATGATCACAAAGCCAAATACAATTATATGCTGCTATCTAGTAAAAATATTTTTTGTGGAATAGGTCATTGTGGATTTTAAATATTATATAAATGTAAAAAAAAAGCATTTTCAATATTAAAAAATAAATAAAAATAACTATAAGTGAAAAACATATTGACTTCGTACAATTATATATAATCAAATTAAACGAAATGAGAATAAAAAAAATCTATTTATAAAATAGGTTATCTTATAATTAATAAAGTAGTATAAAGAAATTATCATATAATTCTTCAAATGTATACGGGATTATTAATTTAAACCACTTTGAAATTATTAAGTAAGAGACATTTATCGTATAAAATTAAATTTGATTTTTTGTGGGTTAGGACGTTCTGGTTCTATGCATCTCATATATGGAAGCATATCAAACGGTAATTATGAATTACGAAACTTTGTAGGAAAATATTGATTCTTCACTATTGGCAGTTGTAAGAAATTCATTTCTATTACTTTTAATCCACTATCTAATTTCAAGTTTAACATATTATTTCAATCATTTGTCATTATTAAAATGGTAGGTTTTCATAACCAACCAATATATTGATTAATTACATTCAACACATTGCATGAGTTGTTGTTATTCCAATGAATTCATTTATTAAAATACATTCAGACGATAAGTAAATAAAGTATCGAACTCCATGATAAAAACACTATAGAAAAATTATCCTTTTAAATCACGATTATAAGTAATTAATAACTATCATACTAAGATGTATTATGGGAAGTGGAATCACATATTAAAAACGACGATAATGTTAAAATCTAAATAGAATATTATGAGTCTAAAATGAAGTATAATAATATATTAATATAAATATCATTAAATAAAATAGTTATCTAGGACCGTGTGTATACAATAATAATATAAATTATGTACAGCTTAACTATATTTATTTATACATATATATTATATATGTTACCGGCAATGTGGATAATCCGGTATTTTGCAAAATGCCTAGGCATTATATAAAATATCAAAAATCACTCGGCAATATACATAATACGAGCTTTGTCGAGGTATTGTGTATAATGCCAAACATGGAGTAGGCAATATGATAAAAATAAACAAAATTGGGCATCGCCTATTACTAACGACTTTACTTATCGTTTATTATAAATGTGCGTGCACGATTTAACGCAATAAAGATTAATATTCTTTTACTATTATAATAATAATTCTGAGATACAATATTGAACGTACTAATAATTTTATTACAATATCGTAGTTTTTCTTGTCATTTTCGTGTCTCGTTTTGGTGTTGTAACTATGCATACGATTTATATGAATTCAAATGTTTATAACAAATAACAAATTCTTTTTAAAAATTTGGCCACTAATACTAGTTTTTTATCTGATGAAAATTTGATAAAAATTAAATCCACAAGAATTGGCCAAAGATTTTTAAAATGTGTTTGTAAATCCAAGTGTCAAAATAAAAAGTGTATTTGCCTTAAAAATAACATTTTGTGTATTTCAAAATGTCACTTTTCTACCACATGTTATAATAAGATAATAGTAATTTAAGTAAAATATTAATATAATATTAATAATATAATAATAGGTAAAAATTAAATTTTGTCTGTAATATGAGTAATAATATATAATTATTATAAGAATCTTAATATAATATAACATATAATAAAATGTATTGTACTTTGTCTAAAAAAAAAATTGACATTTTGCAAAAAACTTGAATTATCCATATTACCGGTAACATATATATTGTTTGATACTACGGCAAAATAAACATTGAATGTCTTCTTCCTGTTCTTTGTCTTATAACAATAAAATATATTAAGGATGACTTTGCATTAGTTAACACTGTTTATATACTAACTTATCAACAATCATGGTTTATGACAACTGCGCGATCTTGTGATGAATATTCCTATCTAGACTATTTTTGGGACACATGTAAATATAGACCTATCACATAGGTACCGTACTAAATACCAGGGATGAAAAACGTTATTTTTCTAAATTTTTTCCAAATAACGTTTTTGGTAATTTTGTTTTTTTTTTATATATTCTTATTTCATATACCTAACTTATAATTAGGCTTAGGGACTTATAGCTCTAAAAAATACACAAATATGCTTCTAAAATCATTAAAATATGCATTATAATATGCATTTATATACATTAAAAAAAAAAAAATAATAACCACATAGTACGCAAAATAAAACGTGTCCATCGGATGTAAATGTATCTTTAAACTCCGAAACAAAACTTTGTAGTCGGCTACTCGTAAACTTTTGTACTTTCGGCATTACACAATGTTACAAAATACGAACGACGTTTTATGTATGAATCGACGTTGCGTGGTTGCGAGATGCAAAAATAACGATAGATAATAATCGACTGAACTGAACACTAAATAAATAATCTATTATTCTATATCAACTATTACTATATCGACATCCGGTCGATTTCCAGATACGATCGATACGGGTTTATAGTATTATTTATACTTACACAAAAATTAAAACGAGATATGTGAGGTAGTTTGTAGATAGCATATTACTAATTATTAAGTACATTTTTTTTTTCGATCATTTGAAATATGTATATATAGTTATATGTATCTATAGTTTTTAATTTTAAATTTAAAAAATTGTCAAAATATGCAAAATAAGCATAACAATTTAAAAATATGCACTCTCCTGTAAAATCTATCAAATATGCAAAAATATGCACATTCAAATTTTAGATCTGATATCATGGCATCGAGAAACGAATTTATTTCGCACTCTGCTATATTTAACAATAATTGAAAAAAGTATGCAAATGCTAGAAGACCCTAAGCCTACTTACAATAGTTACAATGAATTTTCAATATACTAAATTTAGGAATGCACTTAAGTTATAACTAATTATTCTTAATATTTAAAATTTAAATTTCAAATCAAAATTATAATTTATATTTTATATGAAAATAATAAAATTCAAAATTTTAAATTAAAACGTTTTTAAAAAGTGCATTGGTAAAGAGTAAGTAGAAACGTAAAGTAAAACACAATTTCAGATTACTATAAAGTCCTGTTATTGTTATAATTAACTATAATAGCCAATTGGATAATGAGTAGGTATGATAAATTATAAAACAAAATCAATTCCTAATCAACTGCTAAAATCAATAGATTATAATATAATCATATTATAACAATTGAAGCGGCAACCATGTTATAGATTACTTTATGATCCATGATCGTCGTCGTGAAAGATAATATAATTTTACCGTCACCACTGCAATGTGTATGTTCCATGTGAACAATAATTAATTATTGTGCTATGCTATTAATATATTTTATTTGTCAACAATTACCTATTATTTATCAGAGTTATTAACTTTTTGATAACAGATATATATTTTTTTCGTAATAAATAATAATAGTATAATACTATAATTTATTTTCGTTTTCGTTTTTGATTTCGTTATAATATTTTTATTTTTTTTTCGTTTTATTGATTGATTTTGTTATTATATTTTTTCGTTTAATAACGTTTATTAAAAACGTTTTCAAAAACGTTGTGTTTTAATACTGTAGTCCCTAATCATGCAAGTTTAAAAGTAAAATAGACACGCCTGAAGGGTCCATGATGAACAATAATAGGGATAGTCTACAAGCTCAAACTTTACCCCCACCACCGAATCCCAGAAAGGAAAATTATGATGAAGTAGTTTTCTATATAGAAGAACCAAAAACAAGTACGTTACATATTTTTGTTTGTTTGTACACGCTCTAAAAATTACCATGGGACAATTCCATTATTATTTATTTCTAGCCACTCCTAATCAGGTGAGGATACGTCAGCCAGACAAGTTCTGTAACGGAAGCGGCTAGCGACGAAGTCGACTTAGAAATGGAAACAGAACGAGTGACCACGTAAGTCGACGGTATTATTGTTGTAAGGTTTAACGAATATATTTGATATATCTGAAGTGCAATTGTAGAACGATATTTATTTATTTCCATCAAACGTTAACAGTTAAATAGTATGTCTAGAAACATAAATATTACGATTTAATATTACAAATACAAAATTATGAAATACAAATTTATTGTTATTTTCATATGTCATTTAAATAATGAATCAGATCATACTTTATTAGACATTAAATTAAAGTTCTTTTAACATTTAACTTAAAATTAAAATATTACTTTTTCTACCTATTGCTATAATTCAATTTAACAGACGAAAAAGTATATTTTACTTTTTTACTCATTATAGGTTGACTGATGTACACAAAAATACTATTCGAGCCATTAGTACGATAAAATATTTTATAGCTAGAAGAAAATTCCAAAAAGCAAGAGAACCATATGATGTATGTGATGTTATTGAACAGTATAGTCAAGGTCATTTGAACATGATGGTTCAAATAAAGGTAAATTATTATGTGACAACTATAAGATGTAAATATAATTTTAATAATTAAAAATGTATTCTCTGAAAACTGTCTATCCTACATTATGAGCAGTTTAAGTTATTGAATACACTTAAGTCATTTTATTTCTTTAGCTATTAAAATTTATTTGATACATTATTGAGTATAATATGTAATATTTATAAATTATTAATTGAATAGTATTTGCGTAAATTTTTTGGCTACAATCTAATATTTATATAATAAATAATATGTTGAATAGTTGTTTTTTTCTTCATATTTTGCATAAAAAACGAAAAAATAAATCAAAGGTAAACTTTGTTTTCATACCTATACTTAAATTATAATTATTAATTGTAATACAAGACTACAATTGGTTGAATTTAAATCAATCTATATTTTATTTATTTAAGTAATGAATCTATAAATTCTAATAATATTATTTAAAAAAAATAAATAAATATTTATATCCTTATCATAAAAATATACTGAGCGATATCATTAAATATAATTGCAGATAAAAAAGAAAAATTAATATTCTATATGTATGGTATATATTATCATGATACTTCAACTTTAATAAAATTAAAATAATCTACTATCAATAATAATTATTCAATTAATATAATTCAAAATTATAACATAATGAACATTCATGGTATGAATAAAAGCAATTAATTTAGCAATTAAAATCAAAAATTAGAAATAAAAAACTCTCATGAGTGGTAAAAGGTTTATAGTAAACTCAAAAATTACTTTAGACAAAAAGTAATAAATTTTCTAATGCTTAGACATTTTTTTCAGGCAAACTTTTTACCTGATGACTATGATGATATAGAAAAAATCTTATAAAAATGTTGTATTAAATTTCTAAATCTTAAATATTAAAGTTTAAATATATTTATAAATTTTAAAATACAAAAATGTGACAAATTGTAGTGATATTTGTTTTTTTTCATGACTTTTAAAATCATAATTTTTAATCGATATTTTACGAAGAAAAAATTAAAAAAATGTAAATTTTTCACATAAATATAAATTGCTGAAAAAACGATATAATTTGTAATTCATACCAGCTTAAATGAACGATAATTTAATTAGCATTCACTGAAGAGTTCATTAATAACTTTTTTTTTTTTTTTGAGTTGCGACGAAATCTTAATAAAAAATAAAAATCTTAGTAAACTGTTCTTTTTCTATTACTTAAGTTGCCTATTCAATCTAAAGACTCCATACTTACTCAAGCCAAAGTGAGTGTGATCAATCAAATGTTGCTATACTATCGTAATTTTTTGAATAAAAAATTATTTAGCTGTACATTTTTTTTTTTTATAATTATTTAACTTTAATTGTTTCAAAAAAATCTTTGTTTTTACAATGTTTTTTTTTTTTTTTTGTAAAAAGTTACATAATTAGATTAATAATAATAATAAAATATTTTACAAATTATTTTAACTTAAAATGTGTTAATTGTGTTATTTTATTAGATTTGTTCTAATGATACCGATAATGAAGATTCTGGAGGTAGCAAGGCACCCTGTGGCACCTGAGGCTTTAGTAACAGCAAAAATGATCAAACATTAAATAATTTTATAAATTTTAAAATAAATTCAAATATTTCTGTTATGTATTGGAACGCAACCTAACATACATAAACAAATATTTACAAGTCTTATTTAATTCCTCGACATGGTATAAAAATAATATAAGACCATCTATTTGCGATTGAGATCACTAACAAGGACGGATTTTGTTAAATTGTAATTCTATTAATTAAAAATAAAGTAAAATAAAGTGGTACTGCTCTACATTTCACATTAAACGACGATAAAAGAACATTAATATCAAGAATCTAAATTTTAGTTCAATAATTTAATATTTTCGGTAGCTTTCATTCATTTCATGATGGCTTATGTGTAATAAATGATAATAATATGTAAGGGTATTTTTCTAATGATATTGGTCATTTATGAAAACACATGGTGACAAATTCATCACTTACTTGGAATATAATTTATACAGTATTAATACGGCATTATTTTATTTTTAATTGCAAATTATTAAATTGATAAAAGAAAAAATTATTAACTTATCGTGTCCGGTTTAATATTTATTACTGGATAATGAGATTTTTAACATCTGATACAAAAAATAAATAAGAAAAACTAAAATAAGTTTTTAATTTACAAACATATGAACTTAAAAATTAATTATTTTTATATAGATATATGTATGTATAATCGTATAGTACCTTTTAACTATTATGTTATCACTTCCCGCATCATAACCAAACAATAAAATCTATTGATATGAAGGAAAAAAATAATTTCATTATGTTCATGTGTACGTCATACATCACGCATGATAAAAATATAACCATAAATTTAAATGATATGAGTTGTGACCTTCTTATTAATTTGTTAAACTGCCAACCTCTATTAGTTGTGATAGACTACAACTTAACACGTTTACGAAAAAGAATGATAAATCAATTCATATTTTGATATTAGAATAACAAAAGTTATGAAATATAATAATAATATCTAAACTAAATAGTTCATTAATCTCAGGAAAATGTTTTCCTTTTCTTTTTGGTTAGACTTGAATCTAAAAAAAAAGTTACATCTATCTACGTTTAGACCGAAGAATATAGTTTGTAGTTAGATATGTAAATACAATGCATTTATTTTAATGGCAACAACCTTTTTTTCTTAAATAAATACAAAATATGATTTTATTAAAATATCTAATGATTTTTTAAGTGTGATGCAAATTTTTTTTAGCTATTATTTCACTAGTATAAAATCTAATTCCATATCTAATCTGCTGGTCTACTTCCACTTTTTGTTTTTTGTTTTTTATGTGTTATTGACATTATTGCATTAATTCAAAAGAGAACTCATTTTAAGATCTTTTAGTATAAAAATTATGTGTTAAAATATAATATAAACGTTTGTATTTTTATATCATTATAAAAATTTTAAGATTTATAAGGCCTACACAGAGATTAACTGATTTTTATTTGCTATAAAATAAAATATGTGGTACTTTTTATCATTAAATACTTTTAGCTGTATATTTTGTATTTATATATTTACTGTATTTATGAACTCATAAACAGTTTATATTATAAATTATCGGTAAATTTTAACTGTAGTTATTTTTAGTTATAGTACTGTATAATAATACTGTATACTATAGTATATGTTAACTATATTAACCTAACCTACTGGTCATTTCTATATCAAAAGACTCAACGATCACTACTCTAATATTTCAGATAATGAAATTATAACCGCAATGATAAATATAAAAATTGACATATATTACTTATATGTATTTTAATTCTCATAATTTATGTCAACGATTTTATAAATTATTAAATTATTTTCTACAAGTTATTTGACGAATTCTCTCACATAATATATATTCGTATCCTAAATTAATCGTTCATAATCGTTTTGTTTTCATTTTGTCGAATTTTCTTAAAAAATTTAAAACTACAATATTTTAACGTTTATTTTTGATGAATAAACCAAGACAATATAAAAGTCACGTTACATATTATTAAATTAACTGTCAAAAATAATCGTCCCTCTATATTTCCTTCGTATGTAAACCCATCAAATATCGTAAATACTAGATTTCAATAATTATCAGAGCTTTAATGTTTAAATTATTTAATTATTATCCATCAAAGAAGTTTCTTCACAGAAAATTGACTCAGAAGGTCAAAAATATACTTTTTTAAATTAAAAATTAATGCATAGAGTCTAAAGCCACGTGTAAGGTTTAAATTCAAAATCATAAGGTATCAAAGCTACATAGAAAATAATTAAATGATTGATTAAAAACTTATTTTAGATTATCGATTTTAATTTATTTTTTCTATACATCTTATTATGAAAATGTAATAATTAATTTAGGTAAGAAATTATTCATTTATATACCTAATCGCTTTATTATAATTTTTTAACATATTATAATCTTCGTATCTTTGTTTCTGGTATATTTTTATACTCTTTTAAAAATCTTTCTCTACTTATTATATATTACCTTAAACATTATTTTCAATAATAAATCATTTTAATATTTGTTGGCATTTCTTATCTGTTTTATATTTATATTTATTTTGATAAAAATTGATAAATAGAAAAAGTCAAGGGTTAGACTATATAGCATAACCTTGTAGAATTTGTAAACTATCATCGGTAATATTACATTTTGCATAGTAAAACTTATTTATTCCTGTTAAATACCACTGTATAATAATATTTAAAATGTTGAGACTAAATTAAACGTTTTTAGTTTGTAAACTAATAATTATTGATGTCTATAAATAGCTTATTTTTTCAACAAAAATTCACTAGTTTATTTTTAAAAATAACATGTTTGTATAACTTACATTGAAATATAAATTTGTATTCAATTTGGTAATGTTTTTGAGGTTAAAATTCATATTTCAGTCGGGTTACCGTAAATTGAAATATTAATTTAAGGGATCAAGGAGTACTGAAACATGTTTCATAATATGTTCCAATTTCAACTCATTTAGTGCGTAGATTGCCATACCAATGGTATTTTACATGCAGAAATTTCGGCAATTAGCACCATATTCAAACTGTCTAATTTGTCCCTTTGAGTAGTTTTAGATTTTTAAAAATATTTCTATCCTAATCCAGTACAAAGAATATATTTTTCTTATAAATACTTTCGCAAATATTAATAAACTTTAGTAAAACTAAATATTTACTCGTTTGATATTTAATATAAATAATTTACTATGATAAATTTTTAAAAATTGTATGAATTGACTTAAATTAATTATAATTTTCATATTTACATATGATCATTCCATCTATAAATATAATGCTAAACATGATAGTTTTACGTTTAAATTGCATGAGAAAACCTTAGGTCTCTGTGGTATACTCTGTAGTTTATCTTTATTATCGGTGTTCTTATACTAAAAATATTTGTAATATAGTTAAAATATTATTGGTAAAGATTTTCGGAGTTTTCATTATTTTATTAAAATATCTCATATGAAGATTTCTATCGATACGGATCATAATTCAAAGTATCTAATTAAAGGCGATAATCTATAACTGATTATTTTTTACTTCAGTAAATATTTAAATTAATTCATTATCATAAATTATAGGAAATAGTGACTACGTGACTTACTTCATGTTTCCAAAGAAAATGTTTACTTCAATATTTCAATGATTTTTGAAACACATAATTTGTCTATTTGTTAATCAATTTATAATGAGTTATTAGTTCATTAAAGATTTCTCAAACATTTTCATAAAGATTTCTTAACATAATGAAACAAGACAAATATCATAAATTTAAATTTAAAAAGTTTGTATATTATTTTCAAATAAAGCTTTATACATATAAAATAACACAACTAAATATATACTATTTTCTATTTCATATGTAATTTCAATGATTGTGAAGGTCATTGTGAATGTTTTCCTTTTAAGATATAGTAATAATTCACAATGTTCATAAACAAAACAAATATTAATAATTTAAATAAAATACATTAACCAGTTAAATTAAACCAGTAGTTAAATTTAAATTACTTAAATTTTTACACTATTTGAAGTGGTCAACATTGTACTTCCCAATTGGTTTAATTGCAATATAAACCAAGTAAATTTTGACCAAGTTATTTTTATCAAGCAGAGATCATTATCTCAATCAGATTATATATCATTATAACAATAAAACAAAAAACATGTTTTCAAACAAATAATAGTCTATTCATTTTTATTGATATATAGAAACTTTTGTTTTTTATGGATAGATATATTATTTAAGCAAATAAACAAAACCTTTAAAAAATAAAGTAGGAATAGATGAAATGTGCCGATGAAGTGATATGATATCCAATAATATATCGGTAATATAAAACATGTTTGAAATAATATGTTGGTAAATAAAGCTATTCACATGATCACGATAAAATAATCGTAAGTCGAATGCACTTAAACATTTTAAACAATAAAATTATCATCCGTTAATGATTGTTTTGTCTACATGTAAGTAAATAAATTAATTATAACACACCAACAATAACTATCGTGCGATAAACCGGAAAATAAATTCAGTATCAACCATGTCATCTTCCGTTGAAAATAAAAGCTCTGCCGGAACGAACTCAACATTACCAAAAATTGTTGAACTATAAGATTTTAATATCGATATTGATATGCTTTATAAGATGATCTACGTCTCATTTAAAACGGAATTGTCTCTTTTTTGATAATCATGTCTTGTTTTCCCGACAAAATAAAAATAGGACCCTTTTTGTCCAATTTTTAGAAAATATTCCCGTTTTAATTTCGTTCTTTCCATATTATTACATTACATTTGTAAAATATAAAAAATTGAATAGAAAAGATCGATATTTATAACGAAACAGCACTTTAAAAATTGAACATGTTCACAATTTTGTGAATTCCTTTGAAATTCTAAAAATTATTTAATTCAATAATTTCTTTGGATGTACGAAAAATAGTGTAAAGAATAGAAAATAATTATCAAAATCATGAATAATAAA